TAAATGAGGGAAAATCTGTGTCATTTAAAGACATTCTGTTCACGTGAGCAGCTGTCAGTCAGCACCTGTCATCATCCAGACGCACGAAGGAGTGAGTGTCTGAACCAATCACTTTTGTTGGCATTGATCAGCTGACTGATTTAAATACATCTTAACATTCATGAGGTACTTTACATTGACTGTTTATGGTTGAATGTGGGCGTGTAGAGGGTAGAACCTGAGGCGGGACCTCGTGCGCAAACTCTGACGTGTGGCTGTGATTTATAAAGGAAAGGTGCGCAGAAACGTGTGTACGCATGGTTTTATAAATCTGAATTTTTTTTGGCGTACGCCATTTCCGCCTTTTGGCCATACATTCACTTTTAGTATGGTTTCCACGCAATCCTTTATAAATGAGACCCCAGAACTGATTTAGAACATGGGGCTGAGTGTTCCTTAAAGGAATGCTTATTGTGGGCCGCCTCTATCTCCAATAGTTGTGGACTACAATACAGGGCAATATGTTCCAAATTTGATTCCTTTTTTTTGTCCATATCAGATTGTTTCATGACAGTCTGAACATGATATATTTTTTTCTCTAACACACCTGCCTTCTTGATTAGTTTACCTCTTCAGGTTCTGCAGAAGCCTGTTAATCATTCAGTCATTCATTCAAACCAGGTGTGTTGGAGCAGAGAGACAAGTAAAACATGAAGGATAGCGGCCATAGACATCCAGGATTGGACACACCTGATCTAGATGGAACAGAAGGATGAGTTTAATAAAGCTGGGACTGATGATGTAGACTGGAGACACCTGAGCTCAATGACCAATCAGAAACAGGTGCAAAGTGGGCGGGGCAAGCTGACTAAGGGAAAGAGGTTGATGGCATAGGGGGATACTGAGAAAAACTGAAACAAATAAAAAACAAAGGAAATTAATGTACTAACACAAAAAACTATCAAAATCAAAAATATAAAGTTTCCATCTCGTGGTGCATAAAATGCTTTTAAAATAGACTATATTTCTTGCTCCAACTATGTATTGGGGATGATACTCAGGTGCTGACACACCTAATTTTTGCCAAGTATTTGTAAAATTGATTGAAACATGGTGGTTTTTCTATAATGTCAGCTGGTTGTTATCAGTTGCAACTGATTACTAGTGGTGTTCGATGCTGCCAATTTTCTTTCCGATACC